TGCATGCAAATGTGTAATTGCAAAAATTTTGGAAATAATTTGTTGAATTGTTTTGTGTGCCAGATATGTTTTCGGGTGATTCATCTTTTGCTGCTGGTGAAAGAATGTGCGAGATAGTGAAGGTTGTACTTAGTTTTGGTTTCTTTTTTGGGGTGGACAGGTTGGGAGGTGTTCCAGGGATAAGTCTGTTAGTTTATTATGAAAAGCTATACCAACACCATTTGCTTGCTTGGGCTTATCATCTTATTTTCTGTATGCTTAACCTTGCCAAAGTAACTTCACATGAAGCCATCCTAACAGAAAAGAACTTAAGTCAATTGAGATAGGCTCAACCATGATACTTTCTGTGTGAATGTAATATATTGTAGTATGCCCTCTCTGCTAATCTTCACTCGCTACTGTATAGGTGTTTGTACTAGTTCATCAACTCCGTTCTTTCTCAATTGGTAAAGCTTTGCCTGATCAACCTCTGATACAGCCTCCAGCTGATTCTCTAGAAAGCTTGCGTGCAAAAAATGCTGGCATGATTGGTTTGAGTCCAAAACCAAACAGTGAAGTAAATCTTGGTTCGTTTTTTACTTTTCTCTTTAATCTTGAAAACTTTTGGTTGTATTTGATAGATTCTTTGTGTAAAATGTTCTCCATTTTCCTATGTTTTATCCTCAAAATCTTTTTCATTAGGAAGAAATTTAATGCCAAAGAGGAAGGTGGCTTACCCTGTACCTCACTGTACTGCTTGGTGCACTTGCTGGTGCTTGTGCTATCTCCAATCCTCTACTAATCTTTTATAGTGTACAACCCACTTTTCTGAACATATAGACAAATTGAGATGCATCACATAGTGTATCAATTTATTGGTGATGGGAAATTACTGAATTGAAAATGGTGTAACCTGAGGTTTTGAATTTTGTTACTCTGCTGGATTTGCTTTTCAGTGGATGCAGTGCCTTGTAGAATTGCATTTGAGAGGGGCAAAGAGCGTCATTTTTGCTTTTTAGCCATCACTGCTGGAATATCTGGTTGGCTTGTCCTTGCAGAAGAATTACCTCAGAAACCACGTTTTGGTTTGGTTCGAGTTATTGCACCTTTAGCTGGTTGCAATGTAAGCCTTTCTAACTTCACTTTTTTTTTTTGGTATACACTGCTTGATGCATTATACTCTAGATGCACTTTTTTTTTTTGGTATACACTGCTTGATGCATTATACTCTAGATGCTTGTAGCTCAAATTTTGCAGTAGGTGCTATGAGCTCACCAAATTGGATGAGTGTGAAAAAATTGTACTCCCTAGTCCCTATTATTCCAAAATATTTGCTACCTAATGTACCATTTAATGTAATCCACTTTTTTTTTTTCAGGGTAATAAAATAAAAGTAGGCCCTGAAGTGTTAATAATCTTTTCTTTTCCTTTTTCTTCTCTGCTTCAGCCCAGAATTGATGACAAACATTCAAGATGGTTACACCTCCGGATACGTCCTTCCTCTTTTCCTTATTTGGATACTGGCAAGTATCCTTCACCCTCAAAAGTTAAGGTGAAGGCTCTAGTGGATGGGAGGTGGACTCTGGCTTTTCGCGATGAAGAATCCTGCAAATCTGCATTGTCTATGATACTTGAAGAGATTAATTTCCAAAGTGTTGAGGTCGAGAGAAGAATAAAGCCCTTGCTAGATATCGAATGAGCTGTTGATTTTACAAGCTACATCTATGAGAATACCGTAAGATTCTCATGGTACGAGATTCATTTTATAATATTTTGAGTTCCTCCCCAATAATATTTTATACAAACACCTTGGAGATTGATTGCATCCTACTATACCGACCCACCCTCTTTGTAAATGTGTCAACAAGGAAACCTTAGGTGTACCATTGTAGAGTAGACAATGTGAAAGTCCCCATTCGTTGTATATTAGGCTGCCTGTCTCCTCCCCACTTCTCAATGTTGGTAACAGTGTATTTGGCAATATTTTCTTTGATGTTAGCTAGTTTTCCCTAACCCTCTTGAAACAAGCAACTATTGTGTTGAGTTTTAGAACACAGTTGAAACAGAAGCAGTAGCAGTAGTGTAGATTGCAACTGACATTTTTTTGGGGTCGTACTGCTTGCTTTTTCCTGCTGATTATGTCTTTTTATTCTGATCTGAATTATTACATTTGTGGGTTCTAATTCCTTCTCTATGCTTGAAAGCTCCAACTGGATTTTAATTTCTAATAGCTTTCTGTTGTTGTTACATGCATGCAGTTGAATTATAAGTTGTAATCTTGATCTGATACTGAGATTATATGATCATTATCATATCTACAATGTAATTGCAAGTTACAATCTCTTGCACTGAAAGCTAAAAAAGAATGACCAACTTTCTTAAGAGTCCACACTCCACACCAAACTTAGCTCCGAGTAGTTATTAATTTTGAAGTTTATTATTTTAATTTTTAATGATGATCCGTATTCTGTAGAGATGAATTGAGAAAGGATGCTGCTGTTGCTGCGGTTTTGGAGGAGCCAAATTAGTGTGAAAATTTTGACGACGTGACTAATTGTGCTTCCTTCATCTATACTTCACGCGGCATACATAATGATAGGACAGAATAGCATTCGCATAAGAAAGTGAAATTGTGTTTGTAATGTATGAATCGTTATCTGCAGGTCGCGACGCGGACGTGACGGAGGTTTTGATTCAACTCACTAACAACCCAATCACATCAAATTCTGTTTTGAATCTTACCACGCAGGGCAGGGCTGGCAAGTTTTACGGTGGATCATGGTCCAAAACAGTGTTGTTTCTTTTAATGAAAAGAAATGGGACCCGTTTCGCGTAATTTGTTCTGTTTGTATAACATATTCAGTTTCATTTTATATACATTGTAGTTCCATTTTAACAAATTACTGTTTTACTTTGTTTCAATTACATTTTCATTCGACATTATACGTACAATAGTCTTATTACAGTGAGACATGTTATTGAATTTTATTTTATGCACACCGTAGTTTTATTACAACACCACTAAATTATAATTCTAATTCAACTACGGTTTCATTGGACAATAGACACTCAAATATGTGAAACTGTTATTCACATTGTAATTTCATTAAAACACAACTACAGTATCTTTTGATATAATTACAGTTTCATTTGATAATATACACAATATGTGAGACATGTTATACAATTTCTTTTTATACATACTGTAGTTTCATTTCAGCAAAATTAAAGTATCATTTCTATTCAACTACAGTTCTATATGACAATATACACTCAATATGTAAGACATGTTATTCAGCTTTATGTTATACATATTATAGTTTCATCTCAAAACACTAAAGTATCATTTCAATTCAATTACAATTTCATTTGATAATATAAACACAACATGCGAGACAATTTCATTTTAGATGCACTGTACTTTATTTTGTTATGAATATACAAAAAATACGAGATTTGTTAAAACGTAAGGGCTGCCGTTTCTTTACTTTAAAAAACGATGCCGTTTTGGGACCATGGTTCACACAGCTACGTGGACCATAGTTCACAGTTTAATAACCGGGGCTTTACTGGGCCAAATGATTGAAATGAGCAATTTTCAATAGATAATGACAAAAATTTGAAGCTTTTTAAAAGTGTTAATATTGGGAAAAACTCATTTGGGACATGCATTTCTGACACAGAAATGCATGTCCCAAATGAGGTTTAGAAAAAATTTTAAAGATTTTTTTTCTTCTTAAAAATACGTCAAACGCAAGTAGGACTTGTGTCTCTTGTATTATAAGAGAGACGCAAGTGTCACTTGTGCCTCTCAGTCGTATAGATACGAAGGAGAAACGCAAGTGGCAATTGCGTTTCTCGTATAGTACAAAAGACGCAATTGTCACTTGCCTAGGTTTTTCATCGTCGCCGGTCACGAGATATGCAAGTGGCATTTGCGTCTCTCATTAGACGCAAGTTCTACTTGCGTCTCTTAAAGATCAATTTTTTGAAAATGTAAGTCCTACTTGCGTCGGATGATGTGTTATTTGCAGTGGTGGAAGTTGTTGTTTGCGGCGGGTGGGCGGTTGACGGTTGTAACGGCGGAGCCTGGTAAACTTGAGCACTAGCCCAAGGTAGGATTGGATTGCCAGCTGACGTTGGGGGTGTAGCGGTTTGCCCCTCGTTGGTGAATGGAAAAACTTCCTCATTGAACCGCACATGCCGCGCAATATAGACGCGACCCGTTCCCCTGTCTAAGCACCTGTAACCCAGACATGCATCTGGATATCGCAGAAAAACACAAGAGGCAGAACGGAAATCCATTTTGTGCTTGTTATACGGGCGTAAGCATGGAAAGCATTCACACCAAACACACGCAATTACCCGTAATTGGGAGATTTTCGAAACAGTCGGGAATAGGGACTGACATTATGGGAAACAGTGGACGAGAGGCGATTAATTAGGTGGACAGCAGACTCAAAGGCATATGACCAATATTGTTGGGGAACACGACTTTGGGCTAGCAAAGTAAGTCCAGTTTCGACCACGTGACGATGTTGTCGTTCCACACGACCATTTTGTTCGTGGGTGTGCGGAGACGACATCCGATGTGCAATGCCTGCGGCAGTGAAAACCGAATGTAGTTTACGGTATTCACCGCCCATATCAGACTAGACACATTTAATAGTAGTCGAAAATGAATTTTCTACAAAGGCACGGAAATTAGCAAATATAGAGTATATGTCTGACTTAAATTTCATCGGGTAATACCAGATAAATCGTGAAAAGTCATCAACAAAAAGAACAAAATATCTAAAGCCATCTACAGATGGAACCGGGGATGGTCCTCAAATGTCCGTGAATATTAAATCCAATACAGACTGGCTCGATTGATCAACTCGCACGAGTGGGAAGCGTGTAGACTTGCCCATCTGACACGCAGTACATAAATGATTTATCGAATGTAACGAACTACTAACAGGACAACTGGAACGAACCTAACGCAGAACTCGAACATAAGGGTGCCCGAGACGGTTATGTCATACTTTAGGGGATGCTTTAGCCGACAGTAACGCAACCGGAGTAGTGGTGGTTTCCAAGAGGTCGGCTACCTCCAGGATTGTCAGCCGTTGTGACTTTGTCGTGAGAAACGCAGCCAGACTGCGATATTCCGGTCGGAGTCCGCGAAAAACATGTAGATTTTGTTCATCGAGACTCACCGGCCGGCCAGCTTGTGTGAGTTGCTCTACCAGAATCTGCACCTTGCCCAGGTAAACTGCCGGTGTGGAGTCACCTTGCTGAAGACTTTGTAGTTGCGTAAGTAAACTTAGGGAACGAGCACTGGAAGACGAACCCAGTGCCGTTTCAATCGCCGACCAGACAGCACGTGATGTGGAATGGCCTATCGCGAGGTAGAGCACCTCCTCGGACATGGAGGATATGAGCATACTTAATATTGATTGGTCTTGTTGGACCCATATGTGGTAGTTGGGGTTGGCGATCGACGTAGCAGATGATGAAGAAGCAGATAGAAACTCCGGCGGGCAAGCAAGGGTACCATCAACGTACCCGTATAAATTTTGCCCGCGTAAGAAAGGGACTAATTGTGCCTTCCAAAATAGATAGTTGGAGGACGATAGCTTCAGTGAGACGTAATGATGAGCCTGCTGCAACATGGAGGTCGAACGGGGTTCGGAGATGGCAACAGCAGCGGCAGGTGGGAGAGATGCATTGTTATCACTGGCCATAGGATCGTGTTTAGAATATGATACTAGATGATGTACGTGATTATTCAAGAAGAGTTACAAGAGCATTTATACAGGAAGTCTAGCTAGAAAATAGTTAACAACCCACACTAACCACTAACTACACCAATAACTCTGACAGTCTAATATTTATAGATTCATAAGAGAGCCACTTTTTCCAAATATGAAACAAATTGTTAAGTCATTGGATAGACATGCATATATCTCTTTGTTAATATATTTGAAGTCATGGGGTTTGTTAAAAGATTAGGAATAAGGGTCAAATAGGCTATCAACACAATACAATTACGCCCCTGAACCTAAAAAACCTACCATTGAATCTCTAAACTAACCAATTTCATGCAATTCCTCCAATGAGATAAAAAATGCACTTCATCTTGGCCAAGATAGTGAAATTTTGTTGTGGGGGAAATTTCAGGAAAACCCATCGCAACAAGGTGATACAGTTTTTCCATTTTCAATCACTAACAATCAAACGTGGTCGTTTCTTGTAGGGGTGATGTCAACATTCGGGCCCTTAGTAGTTTTTCCCCAACAAACAAAACACATACAATCTGAACTTAAATTTAAACATTGTTCAAGGTCGTATGAGCGTTGACCGCACACCCCTAACATATCAACAACAATGGAGTTTTTCAGTTGGTAAAACTGGTGGTCCTTCTCACCGCATTATTGATACACATGTACACCATACTACCGTGGTGGAACAAATCGAAGATGATGACTACAACGTTGGTTATGGCGATTAAGACGAAAGTACTGATACCAACAAAACCAGAGATGGATTGGATTAATGGATTATTGGTTTTCGTAGGATGATTCTGACGATTACATCCCATGTGACCGACGTGCTTCGACAAATACGCAATTGCATGCCCCGTCATCCGCTCACCTCGGATATAGCTTCCTGGTATGATGACGTTGAAGATGGCAGCGAAGATTTTCATTCCGTAAATTCGCCCCTCCAAAGTCAAATGATGTTCAAGAATTACACACAGTTAAAGAATTCCTGACATACCACAATCTTGCTAAACATAAACAATTCAAGACTGTCACAAAGAAAGGAAAATACTAAAAGGCAACATGTTTATATCTTGAGCAGTATCCGTGGATGATTACTAGTCTGAAATCTCCACGAAATATTGTTGATGAGATGTTAAAAAGGGAAAGCCACAAGTACCAGGCAAAAGTTAAACGACATGATGATGTAATTGATGTTCAAGGTGTTTATTCGACTGTGATTAATGATGTATTAAACGCTTCCGAGAAACTAAAATTTGTTGGGATCGACATCAACCAACGATTTTGTAATTGTGCTCAATGGGGTGTTGATGGCTTGCTATGCATACATGCACATGCAACGTGTCATTACGTTGGTGCAGTACCTAATAGCATAGTTTTGGAAAAGTTCTCTTTGCAAAATCATCTTTTAAGCTACCAGGACTATCATGCCTCTTTTATCCGAAGAATACTGGCCAACATCACCGTATAAGTTGTTGCCTCCAACAGTGGCAGGAATGGAACGTCGTCGTCGTGGCGGTCGCCAGGCATGATCAGAAAGGCATGTGATAGATGCATGTCTCGTATAATATTTTAACGCAAATATCATTTGCATTGGCCGTCACATACGCATGTCCCAAATGAGTTTTTTTCAATATTATATACTTTTAAAAAGTTTCATAATTTTGTCATTGTCTATTGAAAATTTTCCATTTCAGTCATTGTCCCACCTTTATTTTTTCGAAAAGGGAAAACGTATCATTAAAATCTCAAAAGAGCAGAAATACACGAGGGTGGTGTATTAAACAACGACCCTAGGATAGACGAGGAACCAGTCGTCCGTGCGAGCACATGAGCCACGTGATTCGCTAACCTCTTGACATGGTGATCCTTCACTGTCCCTATGTCATGAGCAATCTGATGACATTGCTTCACTAACGACCCAACATAAGAGAAATCTACACAACGGGACTTAAAAGCAATAGAAAAATTTAGACAATCTGTTTCTATGATTACATTATTTAGACCAAAACTCTTTAGCCACGATAACGCTCTTTCAACCGCAAACCCCTCTACCAACAGAGGATCGCGCACAACCCCCATTCTTCCGCTATGAGTTGCGATGAAAAGACCATCGTGATTGCGAACCACAGCGTTGTAACCCGCACCATCGTCAAAAAGCGCAGCGTCCACATTGCATTTCACCCATGTATGTGGCGGAGGGGACCAAGTAGTGTTGATCGAGGTTACTGGCCCCTTATTTCCAGGCGAACTGTATACAGACTTCCAGAGAGACTACAAAGCTCGAACTTGGTTCACCATGCTTGCTGATGACTGCATTTCCTCTTTCCACACTCGTTCGTTCCTTGCATTCCATAAGACCCATAATGTAGCAACCAGACGTACTGCTTCATCCACACGTGAATTACCGAGCGTCGCCTCCATGTATCCTTGTAACCTCCGTCCTCTCAGAACATCGTCATCCTCCGAAATCTGCCTCGCGATAGAACACTCACAGAACAGATGTTCCATCGTCTCTGTCGGGTAGTCACAGAAAGGGCATCCTCCCCCAATCCATACTCGGCGTAGCTTCAAGATCTCCTTAACCGGCGGATGCACCGAGCACACCTCCACAACAGGTTCTTTACTTTGGGTGGCATAGGTAGTCCCCACAGCCTATTCCAAGCTGTGAAAACACCAGCACAGCCGTAAGATGTGAGGGAACCAGTAAGCAGCTGGTATCCATGTCGTACCGTGTACATACCTCGAGGATCGCCTTTCCATCTCTAGGAGTCGAGGAATAAGTCGTGCAGAACATCCTCATCCCAGCAGCCTTGCGTATTTAGCAATACATCCACCTTTGCCTCCTTTAGTTCCTCAATGCATGGAGTGCGAAGTGAAGGGGAGTCCACATCAGAAAGCCATGGCCATCCCCAAATCTTGGAGTCCACACCATTTCCGATATGTCGGGCAACACCTAGTTGTAAAAGAGATTGCCCCGCCATGATACTTTGCCAAAGATAGCTTGGGTTGCCTCCTAATTGAGCCTCAAGAAAATTACACAGTGGGTAGTACTTTTCTTTCAGAAGTTTGCTCACCAAAGAATCCGGGTAGATCAATAAACGCCATCCCTGCTTTGCCAACAGGGCCACATTGAATTCGTGTAGACGTTTAAATCCCATACCTCCGTACTCCTTCGGGGCACACAGACGAGCCAGCTTAGCCAATGAATACCCCTAATGCCTGATCCACCGCCTCCCCACCAATATCGGTTGAAAAACTTTTCAATAGTGGAACAAACACGATCAGGCAGAAGGAAAACAGACATGGTAAAAATGGGTAAAGCTTGTGCTATACTTTAGAGTAACACCTCTTTGCCTGCCCGAGATAGCAGCTTCTGTTGCCACCCTCCAATCCTCTCTCACACCTTCTGTTCAATAAACTGAAAGGTATCCAATTTATTACGGCCCAAAACCGACGGCAATCCCAAGTAGCGGCCCAAATCAGTTGTTTCCCGAACTCCCACGCATTCCGTCACAGCCGTTCTTATACTCGAATCAGTGTTCGAGCTAAACATGGAGTTAGACTTCTCATAATTAATTACCTGTACCAATGCCGCACTGTAAACCTCTAAGCAATCTTTGATCTTTTGTGCTTCCACTTTGTTGGCTCTAAAAAATAGTAAGCTGTCGTCGGCAAAGAACAGGTGGGATACCGATGGGGCACCCCTCGCTATTCTAACTCCATGGATGTCCCCTCGGGCCTCGGCTTGTCGAAGAAATATAGACAGGCCTTTAGCACAGAGGATGAACAGATATGGGGACAGCGGGTCCCCTTGCTGAATGCCACATGTGGGGTGTATTGTGCCCGCGCTGTCTCCATTAATCTGAATATTGTAAACCACAATCGTAACACACATCATCAGTAATCTAATCCAACCATGATCAAACCCCAACGCCACTAACATTCCTTCCAGGAAGCCCCATTCCATCCAGTCGTACGCCTTGGCCATATCGAGTTTCAAGGCGGTCCATCCCATCGTCCTGTTTAATTTTCTTCTCAGATAGTGACCCACTTCCCCGGCAACGATGATGTTGCCCGTTAATAGTCTGTCGGGTACAAATGCACTTTGAGAAACTGAAACAACACTCTAAATCACATCTTTTAGACAATTGGCCAACATTTTTGCGAGAACCTTATATGCCACGTTGTAGAGGGCAATCGGGCGTAGATCAGCAACTCCATTCGGGACCTTTTTTTCGGAATCAAGACGATATTGGAGTCGTTGAGTCCCTGTGGTAGCCTACAGCTGACAATACAGTGAAGAATGAACATAGAAAAATCATGCCCGAGGATGGGCCAGTGGTGTTGATAGAAAGCAGGTGACATACCATCAGGGCCCGGCACCTTTTCCGGGGCCATCAAAAAGAGAGCAGATTTGAATTCGGCCATAGTGAAAGGGAGTAACAAAGAAGCATTCATTTCCTCCGTTACGCGGCTCGCCACCCTGTTCAAGATATCTGAAGTAGTGCCTGTTGATTAGAAGATATCATTATAATATCTCAGAATTTCTGTGGACATACCCGCACCTTCCACCCAATCACCTTCGATGTTCTTTAGTCGCTGCAACAGGTTTCGTCGCCGTCGCGAGGATGCCGCCTTATGGAAGTACTTAGTATTGAGGTCGCCGTGTTGTAACCACAGTTGTTTCAAGCGTTGCTTCCAAAACAATTCTTCTTACCGTAATAGGGACATCAACTCGTCTTCATCGCCATGTAATCGTTTACTGCCTGTTGTTCCCGGGAATCCCTAAGGATATCCAATCTACTGCGAAGTTTTTGTATCTGTGTACCAAAGCGTCTGAAGTGCTCTTTTCCGCAACGTCCCAACATCCGACCACACTCAACAATGCGTTGCTGAAAGTCCATCCCAGCAAACTGCCTCCACAGCTGCTCGACTACCTTGTTGCAACCTTCGTCATGCAACCAAGCTTATTCGAATTTGAAAGTCCTCTTGGTGACATGGACAGGTTGTGTTTCCAGATTCAGGGATATGGTAGTGTGATCCGAAGATATTGTTACCAGATTTTCGACCTCTCTTCTACCCATGCTTCCGTACCTCGCCCCCGTTCCCAAGTAAACTGACTGCCAGACATGCCTAAGTCAAGAAGTTGGCAGTCGTTCAAAGCGTCATTGAAACCTTCAATTAGAAACGTAGACTGCGGGTGCAAACCTCATTTCTCTGATTGACAAGCAACATCGTTGAAATCGCCAAGGACGACCCAAGGGAGGTCTGACCGACCCTTGAGCTCGCGGAGTAGATTCCAGGACGTATGCCTCTTTTTTCTGTCGGGATTCCCATAAAAGCATATTAGTCGCCACTCTAATTTCCAGGGTAAAGAGACAATAACATCAATATGGTTCGTGGAATAGCTTAGTAAGGTAGCCATCCCCAAATCCCTCTAGAAAAGTACATGACCACCACTCATACCTATGCGATCAACACACAACATACCTTCATAACCCAACTTCAATCTTATTCATTCAACCTGACTCGTTACAGCTTTCGTTTCCAAAAGAAAAATAAAACTAGGATGCTTTCTGGAACTAAGCCCAGTAATTCTTGAACTGTCCGGTCGCTTCCCAAACCCCGGCAATTCCAGTTCATTGTACTCATTTGTATGGCGAGACTGGACCACCAACCCCGCCGTGGATAAGTTTTTTGGGTTCTCAACCATAACCACATCAATACCCTCCGCACTACCTTCGCGACGTCTCTTCAGATCACCTTGCAGGCCACTACTCTCTTCGATCGCCTCCAGGTTCCCAGACTTATCCCCCGAACCTGAAGCCTGTACCACCGTCCCGGGTTGTAGAAGTTCTGTCAACAACCATTTTGCCCCCACTGTCCGAACCTGACGACGCGCCCCCGCCCGCATCCAAGACCCGTAGGGGAAAGCCTCTAGTTCAACACCCTATTTATAAACCCTCTTGCAAAATTTCTCGGAATGCCCAAGTACCCCGCAGCAGAAACAAAAGGTACCTAGACGCTCATATTTGAAGCTTACCCACTGCACCGAGCCATCCTTGCGACAGAGCTTCATCCGCCTTTTCAATGGGGTGTACACATCCACTCGTACTCTGATTCTAAAGAAACTCCTCCATGCACCACCAAAGTTGTTCGGATCAGCTGCTAGAAAGGTGCCTACGTAGTCACCGATGCAATGGATGAATTCAGACGATGCGTAGATTGAGGGGAGATCGTGGATTTGCACCCAGAAGGAGACGTCGTTGAGATCCACCTCCTCTATTGTAACGCCAATCGGGACTTTGCCACACACAAGGGTCTGGTTCTCGAATGACCAAGGGCCGTCATCCAATACCCGGTTTAGATCCTTCAAGTGCGGGAATTGAAACAGAAACAGGTTGTCGGCAAGGGGCAGGGCACGCATCCCCATCATCGGACGTCAAACTGACGCCAAGACCTGCTGCATGTGATCAAACTTGATCATTCGATCCGTCAAGAAACGGCCAACCAGCTCATGATGAGAGCTCGTCGCGGGATAGGCATGGATCTCGCGGGCGTCCAATCCTCCCATCTCTTCCTCCGCCAAAGACATCACGACACATCCTTCCTCGATCGCACTGGTATCCATCGCTGACTGACAGGGTTCAATACAGTGATCGTAAAGGAGATCGCACGCCAATCAGGCGCAGATGAACAAACGCGAAAATAGGTCGTACGTAAGAGGATTATAGGTAGGAGCGCATGTAAGGTAATAATAGGTGGGATCGTACGCCATCGGAATATATATGAGGGCACACACTTATAGAATGCATGAACATGCGAGGAAATCAGCGTCATGGAGAGAAGAAAAATGCCATAGAGGGGTAGAAACCGCCATAGTGGGGAAGGAAACCCTAGAAAGCTATGGAGATACTCTCTAAGCACTACCTTGAGAGAGAACCGCTCTAAAAAAAAAAAAAAAAAAAAAAAAAAAAAAAAAAAAAAAAAAAAAAAGAAGGTCCCGGCTTTATTGTGTATCTAAAAATTGAAGTTTTTTCACCCTTCTAATTTACCATAATAATAACAATTAGCCCAATTAATACAAATCTTAAAAACTGATATATAAACTCTCTAAAGTTTCAGCACCGGATGCGTATATCTACACGTTAGCTATTAATTAAATAATTATTTGCTCGAATTCAAGCAATGATAATATCAGAAAACATAATCGATCAAACTCAATTCTTCAATTGCACTATATAATATTCGATGTTATAATTCATTCAATTATATATCGATCAAAATATTTTTAAAATATTATAACAAATCTATTTCGTGCAACGCACGGGTGAAAATACTAACTTACCACAACAACAACAACAACAACAACAACAACAACAACAACAACAACAACAACAACAACAATAATAATAATAATAATAATAATAATAATAATAATAATAATAATAATAATAATAATATCTCAACTCCCAAGTGGGGTGGACATGGCAGCTACTGGTTGGCTGGCAGCTGGCTCCATTCAAAATGCATACCAATGACGCATTGTGCAGTTGGTCAACCAATAACTCTCACCTTTCACTATACTTGTTTATGAAAGCAACTGCCTCTTTGAAATTTGTTGTGCCATTGTGGGTACCACCATTATTTTATTATTATAAATTTAATTGATTGTTGCTAGCCTGCTATATGAGCAGTCCAACTTCAATTCGTCAAATGAGCATTTGACCAACTTAAACCATATAACAGATATTTAATTTAAACATGCTAAATTAAAAGCAATAAAGACGTGACCGTGTGAGTGGGTTGACACCGCATTAAATCATAGAAGACTTAGATACGAATAAGATTGACCAACTTTTACTGACCATGAATTGGAAACTGAAAGGTAAAACTACTAATAAATTGAAAGAGGAAATTAAAACATTTATATTTAACATATATAATAAATAAATAAATATTGTTTGTATTTTAGTCCTAAACCAAAAAAAAAATAAAAAAATACCTTCGTATAACTAGTTAAGATTCACCTATATATCTAATTTTTATTACAATTGATATGTTGTTATTATTACATTGATTTTCAAAGATCGAATTGAACTTTTATAATAATAAACAATAGAAAAAATATACTTTTACTCATTTAATTTGAATCAATTGTTCACTCTACTCTATAAACTATGTATTTGATTGATGAGATAATTGATCTGTATTCAAACCGTAACAGAATAGATGATTACAATAGTATAGGAAACTAGGTAACGTAAAGCATTCCTAACTATCAGGCTAGCCACAGGAGACTTAACCACTTACAACATTATTATAAAATATATAACAAGATAATAATAATAATAACATATACTAACATGGTTGAATTGAGTGTTCACATTCAACAAATAAAATAGCCTTTTTAACACACACATACACCATAACTAGACTCTTAAATTCCAGCAAATACAAGAAAGGAAAGGGAAATTAAATTAAATTAAAAGATTAAAGAAAGAAGAAGATTGTGGAGTCAAAGAAGAAGAAAAAAGTAGTGATTTCATTAGAACAACGAACATTATTGCTCTTTACTTTGTTCCACCCTGTTCTTTGGTCTATGTTCCACTATCCTATCTTTTTCCATCCAAATAAACTTTGAATACAAGCCTGCGTAGAATAACTGACGTCATTACGCTGTTGTAATAATCAATGATAATGCTGACGTCATATAGAAAGATTTTTAATTTACCCTGCATGTGTTGATTAGGCACGGCAGCAATTCCAACTGCGTGCTCTCATTGTTTAATATTTACCGAGTTTTTATAAGTATACTTCAATCAGGGATTGAGATTTTTATAATATGTAATTGTAGAAAAATAAACAAGATTCATTGTAGAAATCAAATCTTTAAAAAAAACCCATAAACCCTTTTTTGTGTTAAGTTAACGTACGCAAATTTTGCTATGTTTTTGGTGTATTGGCACATGTACAATGTAAAGTTCAAGCTAATATAATTTGATACAATAGAGTGCAATGATTGAGTTTGTGGATGCATGTATTATTCTCAAGTTTGACCTCGTCCCCTTCATTATTGGTTATGTGGAGTCTTTTATAGTGAAGGACGACGAAATTTTAATGATAAGACATTCATGATTATATATAATGAGATATATAAAGGTTGGAGCTTTAATGAGGAAATAATGATGTGAGTAATGAGAATTTATTATTGAATAATTAGTGGTATAATGGTAAAATAGTGTGACATATATAATGTCAATTTAGGATGCAATAATATAATGCTCTAATGTTTACTTTAGTGGTATAATGGTAAAATATAATAGTGTGACATTAGTGATTCTCCCATGCATGCATAGCTAACTTGATCCAATCAATATAATCTTGTGAACCAAGTTGTGTGTGCGCCTAAATATATATAAGGGTCACACAATGTAATATCAATAATGACCCACAAATAATTTTTTTTTTTTTAAAGATTCATACAATCTCAAAAAGGGTGACCAAGTGAATTAAACATGATTCCTGTACAAGAAAATCATGAGTTTAATTATTGCCAATTCAAACGATTCTATCAGTTGAGCCTGTTGCACAAGGTCTTTCAATTCCATAGAACGTGCTACGTTTAACAACATTAGAGTGGCGTGACCATATTTTGTGTACTTTCTAGTTTCTTTTTGTGTTTCTTCTAACTTGTACTTCAACTCGTCAAAAAAAAAAAAAAAAAAAAAAAAAAAGTAAAATTAGATAAACACTAGTTGATGTTTAATGATTGTAATAATTGTATTATATTGTTCGAATGTTCGAATATATAGATATGTGTGTGTGTTTTATTAACATTTGATGAGAAATAAAAGCAAATGAAATTCAAACTTAAGTTTATTATTATTTTAAAAAGATCATA